TACGAAGGGAAGTTACCGCAGATCATTTTTGAGATGCGCATAATGATCTCAGGAACGATCAGAATTGAATGTCAAAAGATCAACCAACGAGATAGACAGAGCTGCCTCCAACACAGCCAGTAATAACCAGATCAAAGTCATTAATGGCCTCAGAATACTGTCTGGATATATTAAAACACCAATAGAAAAACATGGCAAAAACAATAAATGCAAAGTGGCAGATAGGGGGCATTGTCGTTTCACTGAGACAAGTCAAATTGTACCAAACAAGGGAGTTGTGCATCTTCAGATGTAGCTTCAAAAATACCGTGGGATCTTTAATGTTCAACTGAAAAGGCAGACAGGACCTCAGTTTGACGTCTTATCTGAAGGAATGGCACATCTTCCCCTTCACTGCTCACCCAGGAGTCGGGGAAAGACAGGGACGAGAGATGGAACAACAACAACTTGGATTTATATAGCGCCCTCCGCGCTGGACTGCATCTCAGAGCGCTTCACAGTAATGGATCCCGTGGCTGAGCCAGGAGGAAGGGGAGGAAGGTGACCAAAGGCACGGTCGAAAAGAAAGGTCTTCAGCAGAGACCTGAAAATAGGAAAAGAGGGAGCGAGGCAAAGGGAGTGAGGAAGGGAGTTCAAGAGCCTCGGGGCATAGTGGCTGAAGGCACGGCCGCCAAGGGTGGAGCAGAGGACTCGGGGGACAAGGAGATGTGTGAGCATAAGGTCATGGAGTCAACAACATACGAAAGTATCTTTTTTTTATGTAAACAAAAAATGTCAAGTGTCATGGCATAGCCCAATATTGTTCTTTTAACACAAAATATTGTAGTGGGCCTTGCCATCAACTTGCAAAGTCATTATTGCTGAGTTCCTGCCGGGCAGCTGTACCTGTGATTATCATCGGCTGCATCTTCCCTCACCTCCCGCCACACTTGAGGGCAATGGAACAGGTCTCCTTGATCACAATGGGCAACATGCAGCAGACTGACATGATGCAGCATATTAGTGGGGTGGTACTCTAACGCAGCACCCCTGAAACAGCAAAAGTGCTGTTTCAAAACTCCAAAGACGTCCTCAATGCTGACCCGAGTATTCTTATCTGAAGTGTTATACCGTTCCTCACTCAGGAGGTTTAAACCCAACCATTGACTTCTTCTGTAACAGTGAAGTGTTGATTCTGAATCTTATTGTTGATGACAATTCTTTGTGACCATAATCGGCTTTGAGACTTATCAACTGTCGAAGACAGTCTTACCCCTTTGTATTAATACTTCCCATTTGTTAACACTGTTGAATCAAAAAAGTTGTATTGTATTTTGTTGCTAGTGTTATCCTCTCCCAAGATATTAATTATTTGCATTATGTGGAATTGGAGTCTGCCTGCAGCTGAGATGGATTTTCATCGAAGGTGGAAGACCTGGTAATAATAATAATAATCGTTGCATTTGATATAGCGCTTTTCACGTCGGGAGGACGTCTCAAAGCGCTTCACAGAAGACACTGTAAAGTGAATTGACTGTATATTTGTGGGCGAACGCGGCAGCCAATTGCGCACAGCAATGTCCCACAAACAGTCGTGGATTGAAAATGACCAATTTATTATTGTTTTTTTGGAGAGATTATTATTAGGCTCTGTGTGGAGTAAGGAAACTTGCCCAAGGTTTCGCCCTGACCTGCCTGGAATTGAACTCAGGTCTCTCGCTTGCAAAGCGAGTGCTCTAACCACTGAGCTACAGGACTCAGGTGTGAACTGATGGAGTTTTAATGAAAGTCCAATTGGGAGGAAGCAGATCTGACACTACATCACCTTACCAATGCGAAGGCCTCTGGTAGAGAGTATTAATGTCGAGTTCCTAATTGTTGCTCTTAGAGAGGGAAGAGAGAACGGTGTGGGTGTTGTAATGCTCGCCTTGGAGTTGCCTTTCTAACGATCAGTAAAATTCTGTTTAAGACACACACTACCAAAGATCCAGAGTGCAATGTGATATCTGTCCACAAATAAGGGATCTCAGTGAGACCAAGAACTAAGGAATCTCACTTTCCTGAGATATTAGTGTCTCTTAATATGGTGTTTCTGCAATGGTTAGATACAATACACCTTTACACATATATAGCACATTTCACATTCAGATGACATTCCCAAACCTTGACAGTCCTATCTTGGCACCCGAGCTGGGGTGGGAGCTGAGGAGGGGAAAAACGACCAAAGTCACAGTCAAAGAGGTGATAGGCTCATGGAACCTAATGCAGGAAAGGACACAGGCTGCAGTTCTGGATCGTCTGCCGCTTGTCCGGGGAAGAGCTGGGAAGTCTGATGAGCAGAGCATTGGCGTAATCTAGTTTTGATTTGACAAATCAGAGGGCAATCGAGAACTCGAGTCGGGAGGTGACAAACGCATGGACAAGTGTTTTGGCTGCATCTGGTATAAAGTACAGTCGGAGGCAGGCAATGTGGCGGAGATGGAGGAAGGCGGTCCTAGTCAAGGACCAGACATGGGGAAGA